ACTATAATGCAAAACTATAATAAAGCTATTGAATTTGCTTAATACAAACATTTGAAGACCAAATTGATTGAAAATTTAATTTATATAATTATCTAACAAAGGTATAAAAGCCTATTTTAATTTTTACAACTCAGAAACGATAAACCAATTATGCAATTTATACAATTCAATTTTATTATATTGTTAATACTTAATATCAGCAATTTCACATCATATAAATGATTGAATCAAATTTTATAAATTATTATATAACAGGGTGAAATTCGCACAAAAATAGTTACATTATTGATGCAAATCCTAACTAAAATAATAACTAACTCTAATTAAATATTGACCTGCATCAAAAAAGTTATCACCTCTGCGCAGATTTCACCTTTTCATATTATTATCATTTATTTTTAATAATCATCCAAATTGACAAAATCTGCCCATACGATAGAATTCGTAATTTATGCGTGCGGTATATATATTAGATTTACTGATAATTATAAAAGACAACAAAATAGAAAACAAACCTGAAAGCTTTGATAGAAGAAATGTCAGAAATAGCGAATAATAGAAAGCATTGGAATGTTATCAAAAATCAGTGGAGATGGCTTATGCTGATGGAATACATATGGACAAATATTGCTATGAGAGCAGAAAAGAAATAAACTAAGGCATAAAAAATCTATAGGTACATATAATTCGATTATTGATATCTTAAATTTTAAATTTTAACAATCTATTAGATATATATAAAGAACTTTGTATTAAACTAAATTGCTAACAATAAATAATAACAAGAAATATAAAGCTATACAAAATTAATTTTTTAAAAAAACTTTAGAAAATTTTTTAAAAAAATTTTTTTAAAAATCCCACCTGACCATTAAAACATATAAAAAATTTTCCAAAATTTCTAAAATTTGACCTGACCAGGTTAGGAAAAACAATTGAATTTGTATGATCTAATAATTAAATTAATATACTATAAATAAATTAAAAGGAATATAAATAACTGCAAGTAAAAAGTATATAAAACTCAAACCTATCTTCTAATAGTTTTGACAAGTTTTTTAGTTTTACTTATTAGGTTGAAGATTATAAAAGTTAAACCCAGTTTTGACTTTTATCAATATTATAATTTACAGGCTTCATCTAACAAATATAATATAAACATTATTAATCTTGAGAACAAACTCGCTTACTAGAGATCTAACTACAAAAAAAAGCTATTTCTTTTTGTTTTAGAGATTCTTATATAGTATAAGTAACAACTAAATTTAAAAAAATGCTCTATAGCTGACCTTCATAAATATTCTTTATTGTCGTGATTATTTTAACAGCATATAGAGCGAAAGGTATATTTAGTTCTTCTGGATAATTTATTTAAAATCAGATTATATCTGCGGTGTATATGTAAATAAATTTTAGTAATTGGCTAATTATGGATGATCTCGGCTAGGAGGTGTTTATTTTTAAAGGTTAATAATTATCATAGGGTATGCTTATTTTCAGAGGGTGCTCATTTTTAATTCACTAATAGTTTAGAGTTAGCATTAGTGCTAAATTTATCAAACAGTAATTATTTTTTTAATTTAATGCGATTAATATCAATATGAGTTAAAATTTTTTTTAATTTTTTTTATTGATATGATTGAGTTTATTTTTAATATAAAAATATTTATTAGCTAGATTTATCAAATTTAAACACTATATCTAAAAAGTAATTATTGTACGTATATAGTTTGATTGATTAATAAACATTTGATAGTTGCTTTTCTAATATTTAGTATTCAATCAATAAAGCTTACAATGAATAAGATGTGCCAGGAGTGGGAATATGGGTTAGATGTGTTATCATTACAGGTCAGAGGTACAATACCACATTGGTTAAAAGTCTCTAAACAGGACTCTCTTTTACTATCTCCGCAAATATTTAATTTATTATTTTTTTTATATGTACATATATATGTAATACAATATATGTACGTGAATATATGCAGATTACTGGCATAGTAATCAGCATCGAATTTATTACGATGATTACTAAACATTAAAATTATAATCATTGTGATTCAAAAAAGGACCTGTATAGGACTTTTAACTAACCTGGTATATTTTTTATATACCGATCATACCAAAATCAATAACTTAACATTAACTGAATTAGATTCGGTAAATTTTATCAGGTGTCCCAGAAATTATAATAATAGCTGTAAAATTTTTTTGAAATTTAACCTAGCCAGGTTATGAGATCTGATTTAAGTTTGTATGATTTTAATGTTTCTTAAGATTTGTATACCTGGGTATTTGATAAGTTCTCAGACAGAACCTTTTTATTGATCACTTTAATCAAAACTACTACATTTTTTGTTAGTAAAAAGGTCCTATCTAGAAAGTTCCTGTGCAGAGACTTATCAAACACCCGGCATAATTCGATAACTAAAATTTGATTTTTGGGACCAAATGCTTGGATTTGGTGACCAATTGTCTGCTTAATTTTGCACCATAATGTTGAACCTAAATCAGAATTATATGTAAACTTATAAGAATGTATGATAGATCAAAATAAAAGATTTTAATCAATGTTTAAGCAAGCTATAATCAACTCTATATAGTTTATTCAATATTATCTAAAATTTTGCAAATATTTGCTACATCGATTGCTTATTTGTGTATTTACCAATTCTTATATTATTGTGACGTGTCACTAAAAAAAATTATTGCTAAATTTCTAATTAATAATAATAATAAAGTAATAATACATTAGTGCTGATAATAAAACCGTTTAAATTCTTTGCAAAAAAAAAGGCTACTAACCAATGCTCGGGCATGTTTTTCAAATTTTCCATATAAACAATCGGAATCGGTAAATTTTCTTCATTTTTCATTGAAATCACCATTTGTTTTTCGAAGTCTTTTTCAACGCCATTAGGAATACCACATTTTTTGAATGAATTAATAACCATATCGGCTGGAATATCATTCCATACGTCAACAATCCATTGGCAAATAAGGATATATGAAGGTTTTTTTAAATTTCTGCTTCTTGTAAAATCGAAGCCACCAAGCGCCATCCAGTTCTGCCATTTTTCTCGCATCCGGTTCTTGAATGGTTTGTTAATGCACACATCAAGTGGTTGAACTAATGAAGTAAGTTCACCAGGAATTATGCCTCTAACCATATTCATTTCATTACATTTTGCCTTAACAGAATCTGTAAGATATCCTTCAAAAGAATCCATTACTAACAAACTCTATTTATTTTACCCTTCCAAGTTACTTCATATTACTATTTGAAGATATAAGCTATATTACATATATTAGCGATGACATATATATGATGGGGTGCGAAATTGCTTCGTTATAATTTTTAGGATTGTCAAAAACATTTGAATAGTTTTAAGTCAGCAAAGGTGAAATTTAAATAGTCGCAATGTACTTAATTGTGCTATTATATTATAATGAAATAATTTTGGTGGATATTTAGCATCAGACAATATTATTTAAATAGGCAGACGTTTTTAAAGTAAAAGGGATGACATTGCATGCATATAAGACTTGCACAGTCTATAAAAAAAACGAAACAATCATAAAAAAGGCTCTAAAATTAAATACCGCTTACAATTAGAGCCTTGAATAAATTGTGATACAAAAATTTTCAGCTACCCAAAAGGCATTTGAAGGTTAACACGAATGGTATTAGGATAAACTCATTTAAAAAACCCATATGCTGTAATAGTTCAGATCCCGTTCCGTACTAGCTCAATCATTTGGATCTAATTTTCAAGGATTTATTCAAATATGTAAGTGATGCTTATAGTATGTTATATAAATACTATGCGTATTAATTTAGTTCAATTAATTTATTTGAATCTTTAATAAAACAGCAACCATATAAAATAGAACTACTGAACTATGAACATTATAATCTTATGCTGATACCAATCAGAATTAATACAAAAAAAATCCCGAATCGCAAGTCCAGAAACTACTGGTGCACGATTTTTGAGATTACACGAATGACATCATAAAGCTATATAAATATTAGTCACGAAAATTAATGGCTGATTAAAACAGCAAGGCGTAAAAGTTACATTGTCAAACAAAAACTTGAAATTATTTCAAAAGCAAAAGAAACATCTAATAAGGCAGCGGCGCGAATATTTGGTGTTGATCATTCTCAAGTATCTAGGTAGTGAAAAAAGGAAAAAAATTTGAAGAAGCAATGTGTTCATATAGGAGTGTTGGTTCTGGAAGAAAAGCTGCATATCCTCTTGCAGAAGAAATATTAAGTTAATGGATTGTTCAATTACATCAAGATGGAATAGCAATAATATTGTCTGCCATAAAACTTAAGATGAGGAACTTCTTAGAACTAGATTTCAACATGTATATTCTAATGCTTTAGAAACTTTTGAAGCCTCAAATAGCTGGTGTCAAAGATTTATGAACTAATACGATCTTGTACTTTGGCGTTATACAAAACTTGGGCAGAAACTTCCTCATGACTTATCCGAACAATTAGATAATTTTTATAATTTTATCCAAAAGTCACAATGTATAAATAATTATGAAATATCTTCCATCGCAAATATGGATGAAACTCCTATTTACTTTGACATGGTTAGCAACCTTACGGTGGATCATCATTCAGCTAAAACTGTTCAAATAAGAACTACAGGCAATGAAAAAAACTGATTCACGTGTGTTCTTGCAATCCTAGCCGATGGAGTTAAACTTCCCCCCATGGTGATTTTCAAAGGTAAAAGACTTCCTAAAGGTCCTTTTCCCCTGGATATCATTATTAAAATGCAAGAAAATGGGTAGATGAATAAGGATATAATGAATGAATGGTTAGATGAAGTTTGGTGAAAAA